ACCGGGGTTCACCGGCCGCGGGCGTAGTGCCACGACTCGTCTGTCTGATCGAGTGCTGTTGGCACAAACAGCAGATAACTTCCGCTGCGTGCTGGGAAAGAGCTGAGGGAGGAACGGAGTCACGGGGGAATTACATCGCAGCTGATGTTACATTAATGATGTTGCTCGTTTCCTTTATAAGGCTTTTGAAATGTTATAGAGCAACCCGGAATGAGAAGTCTCCAAGTTCCTGCAGATGTCTTCGATAGACAAACCTGTGAGAGAAGTTACTCTATATAGAACCGATTTTGCTGCTTTATGAATACAACATATTAAATACATGTATTTTACATACTCAGAGTATTCCATACTCAAGGTGCTCACCTCCTGTAGTGACACGGCAATTTTCTATGTCATGTCCTTAAGCTGACTCTTAGAATCCTTTTGCGTTTTCCAGTTTTTTTGAAAGTTTACCAACCCAGTTCAAAATAATTACTAATAAACTATTCAGAATTGTTAATAATGAACTTTTCAATCTAAAACATTCTACCAAGGTCACATCATACAGAAAAATAACAGAATGATTCCACAGGGAAACTCATTAGAAGATAATTACCTGTTAATGACTTATCTGTAGAGGGGTTATTTTGTGTAGTTAGTGCTACGTGGTCTGTTCAAATGGGCTTCATGGATCATGGGTGTAATCCATCTCTAGAACAAGTGTAGAGGCTGTCACAATCTCTGTGAGAAAAGGGGGGAAAAAGGAACCTGGCAAAAATGCAGTGCCAGAACTCAGATCTGGAATAGATTACCTGGATGTGAGCAATAAGTAAATGCCTTCATTTTCCCTTTACTCCTTCAATCAGCTCGACATCAGAGGCTGGGGAAATGTGAACACAGACTGCCTCCTGCTAGGCAGTGTCATACACGCATTCCCACATCACAACAAAGTCTTGAAAAAGCAAGACTGGCAAAAGAGGAAAACGCAGTCAGGAAACCTGAATGGCTTGTTCCCAGGTAATGAGTTGTCTGTTTCTTCTTACACTGGCTATTAAAATTCTCTTACCACAATGGGGAAAACACAGATCAGCTCTGATAAAAGTTCTTAACACAGGTTACTGATCAGTCCGAATCTGTTATGTTAATGGATTTAAATTAGTCCTTTGAAAAAAACCACATTAATTACATTATTCTTGATGAGCCTTGTTTCTTGTGTGTATCAAATTGTGGGCCTGAGTGCACAGGACTTGCCCCTGCCTTTTCTTCACGCTTAGAAAATACCCTCCCACCCAAAACCCAGAAATAGAACAGATCTTTATATACTCTGTGTGCTTGTGTGTATATATATTTGTATATGTGTGTATATATATATTTTTATATATATATATAAAACATACATATTGTGTATGTATATACACACACAGCCTCTCACCAGTATCTGAGCTGCTCGAGCCCCTCCTCGACTGCTACTGCACCTCAGATTAAGTCATTTTGGGCTTTGTTGTTGTGAAGTTAACCTGAACACACTCTCTGAAGGAGACCTTTTGGTAAGGGACTAGCAGGCACCTACCTCCACTGTGCACCCCTCAAGGCATTTCTGGTATTTGAAATCTGCAGCACCAGCTTAATGATACAATCAGACATTACAGAATTTGCCATGAGATACAGATTAAGAATATTAAATGAAAAAAGAATAAAGTCCCACATTAACTGGTATAAAAGTTTATTACTACAGTGCACACCATTGGAACCTGAAACAGCAAGTTAAGTAAACATTATATGCACACATGCAGTTTGTTTCCTAAAGAGATTTTAAAAAACTGTTATTACTGAGCTTTACATTAATAACTTGGGGTTGTGACTTGTTATGAACAAACAAGAAACCTGGAGTTCTTTCTCGGTTATACAAGTGTAATATATACAGGAAAGGTAAATGGGATTCACTGTAATCTAGAAATAGCATCCAAAGCTCTTCCCCTATCTTACATGATGGACCATTTTTTAAGATGCTAAAGCAGAGAAAGTCAATTGGAGAGACTAGCAATGAACACCATTAACAGACATCAGCGTAACTGGTGGTTCTCAGTTGTGCTTTAGTTGTTCAGACAGAAAAAAAGCAGATCATACAAACAGCAAGCAAGCAGCCTTTGAGGATGTGGATTGAAGACTGAGATTTGGGCAAATCCAAGGGCAGTTTAGGGGCTTGAGAATGCATCTTCTGACGCTCTACAGAACATCTTTCAGGTGGTGCAAAACTTCAGCATGTAAAGCTTAAAATAATGTATCATGTCCTGCATCTACCAGGCACAAACAGAAGGTAAAAAAGTAATAGTTTTAGTTTTAAAAATTATCCTACACTGCCCTCTGGCAACACAAATATTTAATAACATCGTTGCCTGAAAGCTAATTAATTACACATTGCCCAGAAAGCAACAGGGATTGTCTGGCACAGTCAGGCTCTGCAGGCACGGAGTGAACCCAATTTGCCTCATCCACTCCCCATTTGTCACAGCACTGGGGAACGAGGGGGAAGCAGGTTAATGAGTAAGTGTATTCAGCGCTCCCCTAAACCCCCAAAGCCTCCAATGACTATTTTGGGTAGGTGTACTCTAAGTAATTAAAATCCACTAGTTGCAACAGGTAAGAGCTCCAACCCAACAGACGTAACAGAGGAGCAGTGGATGTGTTACATGCACTTTGTTGTACAGAGCTTGCAGTGTTTTCACTTGAAAGCTCCGCTTCATCCAACTTAAGGGACCACTTCAAACCGTGAACAAACCATGTGAACCAGTCAATCGTGTGAGAAAGCATTCTAAAACAATTTTATTGGAATGATACAGGAATGGTTAACATACAGGTTAAATCCTCAATGCCTGCCTTCTACATAGGAAAACAAAAGAAAAGATAAATGAACAAATTCTGTTCTTGTGCCCATCGTTAACCCAACACAGGTGGAGTACAGAAAAATAGCAAACAGGCAGCAGATTCCCAGCACTCCAAAATTCATGCAGGATATCTGCATCAGAATGAATGCAGGTTTTACACACAGTCCCACAACAAGGAGTTATTTTCAGTATGTTTCAGTTTGTGTCAGTGCCTTGTTCCCTGGACAAAGAAATAATTCAGTCTGTCTCAACAGAGCTTTCTTAGGAATGCTGACACAGTCTGAACGCTACCATATGGCGAGGCTGGGGGACCGGGCGAGGGAAGTGACTTTGCTTTCTTAAACTTGTCGATTTCCTTGCCTGTCAGAAGCAGAGATCAACTACATTTCAGCGTGTTTTGGGTCGTTGAATTGTCAGAATTTGGCAGAGGCTTTCAATTACAGCTTCTCCAAAATAATGACTCCAATTCACAAAACTTACACCGTTACCTTCCTTACACAGGAAACATACCAAACAGACAGGAGCACAGCGACTCGTGTGTCAAATTCCACTTTCTTTGCAAGACTTCACTTCCATACTTTCTCAAAAACTCATTTAGAGTTTAGTTAAACACTAGTTTAGGCATAAAGATTGTGGCAATATTAAGAAAGAAAAATCACCTCGGTTCAGACAGGTGAAATCATAGTGAGCAACAAAAATCAGACGCTGGATTTAAAACATAACCTGACTTCCATCCTCAAACCATCTCAGAATTAAATTTCACAGAATTTCAGTAATTACTGAAATATTATTTAATTAATAAAATTACTGATGAAGCCGCTGATTTAAAAGCACAAAGGTGTGTGAAGGTAAGGCAACATTAATCTATCCCTGTGCTTTTTGATACTCTGCTTGCTTACATAAGCACAAGCTTGAAACTGACCTCCCAGGCAGAAGAGAGAAAACATGAATGAAATGTCATTTTAACTAACTTTAACTCACTTTAACTAACAGTAGATTCAGCAGAAGTTTCACCATGAGCTGTCTGGCAGCAGAGCTGCCCTCCTGCCACAGCAACAAGCTGCATTCTAACAGACACTGACAAAATCAATAGTGGTAGTGAAGGGAACAAAAGTCCCAAAGAAACATTGGTGAGAAAAGTATTCAATTACTGCACTTTAGAATAGCTTTGTAAATGTTGAGTTTTGACTTTTATCCCATTCCCAACTTCAGACTTTGAAAACTAAAAACTCCAGTCAGTTTCAGAAAGTATTCAAAAGCACTGCCCAGATTTTAAAGCATCAGTGTAAAATAACCAAATGGTGATGCAGCCTTTTGCTGATCTGTACCCTTTGTTTCTCTGTCTTCACAGAACAAAGAAAATCAAAATGTGCGTGTGTGGAGCCATTAGAAGGAGCCTCTAACTATGGCAAGGACTAATTATCTTTCTTTGATGCTTTTGGGGAGTAAGTATGTGGTGCAAAATGCATTTCAAGTTACCCACACGCTTTCAAAACCTGTTTCTCACCCTTCAGGGCACCTGTAATTATTTGTATTTTTGCAGAATATGGCCAAGAAATACAGTCTATCTCAGGAACACTGGGAGAACAGACAGGTTAATACTGCACCAATACAAGACACTTTAATGGATTTGCAGTTGCTGTAATAGCTTCATGATATGGCAGTAACAATGGAAAAAAAGTTTTTAAACCTTAAAAAAAAAAGTAGTCTTGCTTAATTACAATATTCTCACTATTCAAACATTTATTTCCTCCTTTGAAAAAATACTATATGGATCTAACGACTACTTGAACATGCAATACGATGCCTAATGCTATAAGCAGTGTGAACTGGTATTTTTGTAGAGAAATACATTAAAGGCTTTCACCCTTACACAGGTAAGGAAATGCCATTTCTGGCTGTTTTGGCTTATTTGCAGGAGTGCCTGGGGATTAGCACAGTCGTCACTGAGGTGCACTGGACCTTGCACACGGACATGTAATCGATGCATGCTTAGGCAGCTGTGTGATGAACTTGCCAACAGAAAGGCCATCCATTGCCCAAATTCCTTTTTGTCAAAAGAGCCCACGTGGATCACTTACATGAGGAAAAACATGGCTTTTTTTTTTTTTTCTGTTTTCATCATCTGTAAAGTGTGTTACAATACAAATCTTAAATATCCACTCTACAAAAGAACAAACACAACTTTCAAAAGTGACTACAATGGCTATACTACACAACACCGCCTAAAATTTCATCTGAAACCAGAAGAGACGCTGAAGAATTACTGTGTAATTCAGTAACATTTTTGAGGCAACTCAGGCACTAAAGTTAGTATCTGACAAGGTTTTAGATGCTGTTTTCCATGTTTTAAATACTTGGATCCTTAGGTATAACCCCATCTGTATTATTAGTACTAAAATAGTTTCTTTAAGTTTACACAAAGTGGATGAATTGCCAATTCATGACAGTTTGAACTAGGTGAAAATCATTCATGTCTAATTGCTTCATTTCCTATGCTTCTGACTTGGTAGTAACACTACGTGCTCTCTAACTTTATGTTCGCATTGTCATCTTGTGTTCAAATTTGTATTAGGTGAATGCTGCAAGCACCAATCAAATGTTAGAAATCACATCTATGTTTCTTGAAGCAGAGACAATTGTACTATTTTATAAAAAGCTGTGGAAATTCCCTTTACAGAACGTTTAAGGCAGTTGAAATTCATGCTTGCTGCTTTGCCAGTGCTTCAGCTTCCTGAAATAGCAGAAAAGAATTACAGATATTAGTACTTCATGGAAGGCGAGAACTTACACATACCTGTGTTAGCGTACGACAATAAAATCTGCAGTGGTACATGATTAAGAAGTGACCAGCACTGAATCCAACTCAAGAAGAGTTCCCACCACCTATAATGACATTATAAAACAAGTCCCATACGGTGCTGCCTTTAACTCTGGTTCTGAGCTGCCTCAAGTAAGACCTGCATGAATATTCCAACCTGTGCCCATGGCTGGTTTTGACCATAAAAGTTTAAAACAAAAAAGGGGGGGTGGGGAACAGGTCTCAGGAGAGATGCTGTTTCCTTTCTGAACCAAACCCTACTGAGCCAGCATTTAGCCACTGCCTCCCAGAAGGGTGATCGGAGCAGGCTGTGAGTCCTCAGCTGGACACAGCCCAGAGCTGCTCCAGCACAAGACCCACACGTGAGCCCCGTTCTGGGCTGGCAGCAGGTCTGTCCTGGCACCAGCACTGCTGAGTAATCCCATCTCCCTGCTGCACTGCAGGGGGACAGGAGCCAGCAGGGACACAGAAAAACACTAACCTTCATTATTCAGTTGTCTTTCAGCCTTTGTAGGGGGATCACAAAGGGAAACAGAATGACAACAGAAGAAAGGCAAAATGAACTTCTTTTTTTCCTGAAGATGTTTTCTACAAGTCCACTTTCGACTGAAGATTTATTTAATCACCTGTTAGCAGCAACATGGCCTACAGGAAGATATACAGTCCCAGTGGTCTCAGTGCAGCACTTTAGGCTGGACAGTGTGGTTTATTTTAAAGGAAAAAGTGTGACATCTGCTAAACTTTTATGTGATGGAGTTGTCTGCTTTTGTGACTGCAAAGAAATACTGAAGATAAGAGACACAACAGTATCATTGCTAACAGGAGCCAGTATGCTAAACAAAGAGGAGGAAGGACTAAGAAACGAATTTCCAAGAAGCCTTGTAAGAGAGGGGACATGTGGGTGACCCCAGCCTGCAGGGCAGGAAGTATCACGCATATCTCCCTTATCTTAGACGAGGTGGATCACTCTGGTTTTCCTGGCTACCTGCCTAAGTGCCTCGCCTCCTGACTCAGGGGCGTGGGAAAGCCTCGCTCGGCCGCTGGCTCAAGTCTGCCGTGCTCTGGGACTGCGCTCTGCTCCTCTGGCCACATGTCACAGGCCAAAGAGCAGAGGCGGGGGGGGCCCTGCTCATGGCAGAAAAGGCAGGTGAAGAATGGAGGAAAGGTTAAGAAGAACTACAAAACCTGGTAGCACAAAAAAAGATGTTTGATACTCTCTAAAAGACAAGTGGCTCTTTGAATGGTAAGAAAGAGGAGATGGTTCCTTTGGCTTGGGAACAACTCCATTAACCAGTCATAAGCACTACAGAAGCAACATCCAGCTTAGGTTTTTTTTTCTCTCTAGAAAATGCAAGACAAAGTACTTATCTTCCAAACAGGCAGCAACAAATTGGTAGGATTCCTGGTATTTCCCTCATCCCCAGGAAAGTGGGTACAAGTAGCTCCAAGAACATGTTAACCTATCTGTCTTGAAGGTCAAACTCCATTTCCTCAGGCGTGGTCCCGAAAGCTAATAGGGAAAGGCCAGGCTTCTCAGATTTGACATTACACCTCTTTCATGCTTTTCCTTATTTCCCCCTAAAGGCCCCTCACTGAGCATGCTCTCAGTCCTTAAATAATTAATCACAGCCTTTAACTCACAAAGTCCACTCCCCTTAAGACCCACCCATATTGCCTGAAATAGGGATATTTAAGATAAATAGAACGCCAGCTTTTCTCAGGGTTTGTAGGTCTAATTGCACTGTCAGTGCCCAAAGCACAAACCAAATCACCAGGGCTCAGTAAACAGTTACCTGTATTTCACATGCTCACTTCAGAATTTTTCTTGTTTAGCATTAATATTGGACCTTTGTGCTCAGAGTCAACTACCTTTCCAAATCTCTCCTAATGACATTTAATGGAGGTTTGCTGTCAAGGTCCTCTCCTGCACTCACACGCAGGTTGATCCCAGACTTTCCATTTTATGCAGCAACAGACATGGATGCAATGTCACTAACTACAGTGTTGTATCCAAGCTGCATGCAGATATGCTGTAAATGCCAATTTCAGCATCGGGCAATCAGCTTGATTATACATCATGTAATTGTAGGACAGATACCAAAAGTCAGACCAGCAGCAGAATGCACTGGGTACAAGGTCATTTATGCAAAGGTTATCTTCATCAGCTCAAACACATCTCCCCAAGCTGCAGCAAGCAATATGAAAATTCAGCATAGTACAGCTGCATTGTGTTTCTCCTTTTGAAAACTCACCTTTTCTTAGGTGAGGACAGAATCAGAGCAACTAATAGCCATGCTGACTGGTTCTGCAGGCTGGCAGGTTAAGGAAGCAGCAATATTCATACACGTTACTGACACAGATGACCTGATTTGTTATGGCAGCACCTGCTCCCCAGTACCACTGCACTTCCCACGAAGGGAAACGCACGAGCTTTCCTGCTGTGATCTCAGGGCTGCTTTCCCACTCCTTGGCTCCATCCTGCACACTCTCTTGTGCAGTGCTATGCAGATGTTCCCAGAAACTTAAGGAAGATTGACATGGCTATGGCACTGTGTGCAGCTGGCCTTACAACACCGACAACGCATGGTACTGGGGCACAGATCATGGGTTTTGCTCTCTGCAATTCTGTACGAGGCAGAGTTCTTCCTCACTACACCATTTCTACTGCTAGAAATCAGTCTGGCTCCCAAAATTGCTTCAGTCTGATCCACAACTTGTAATGCTCATCACTGACAGATCACCATCCGCCTTTAAAATTAGGTCTCTTAGTGATGTGCAGAGCATGACCTTCAATTCTTACATGAATAAAGTTGAAAGGAAACGGCATGTTTATCCGTTGGAACAAGAAAGCTGGAAGTGACCTGGAGGATCCTGCTGTTGTCAAGTGAAACGTATAAAGCAGGCCTGTCCTATCCTATCAAAATCAAATGGAGAATTCCAGCTCATTGCATCCGCAAAGCAGCAACCCAGTTTGTAATTGGCAAAGGAAAACAAGGCTTTGGATAACAAGCTGGAGGAAAAAATTACTCTGAAGCGAGACCACATTATTTCAAATACAGTGACTCTGATTTCAAGGTATTTTCTAGTACAAAAATCTCATCAAAACTTCACATGAATTAAGTTTTCACTGAATTGAGAAAATCCTTTGGTTTTGTGACAATTTTTTTTATCAAGATTTCTTGTGCATTCTTCAGTGAACAATTGAGGGGGAAAAAAATAATCTGATGGTAAGAGACAATTACTGCTAGTGAAGAACTTGACCCAGCTCTTCTTTCCAAAGCAACGAAAGCTCTTCCACTAACTTAAATAAGAGCAGTGAGGACACCAAAAAAGCATCTGTACCGAACACTGAGCTCTTCTGGTAGAAGGAGGGAAGGTGCCTCCAGGGCACACCAGATCCTCCAAATAAACCAGCACATAACAAGCGTGTTGTTCAGATGTTGGAGCCTAAAAGTTATCAGACCCGTGGGTAGATTGATTGGGGCAAACACAGAACACATAAACTATCCTATTATGAGCAGAGAAGAATAAGGCGTAGAATACAGGTTGTAGTTTCTTGTGAGAAATGTGCATACCTACCTTTGAACCAGGTGGTGCAGTCAAGCCTAAAAATGCATATACTGCATTGTTCTCTCGTGCTTCAAAGAAAGCTTCATAGTCCTTCACCAAAGGAGTCCAAGAGGGAGGGGGAAACAAAAGACAGAACATGAGTTATCAGAAATAATCACAGCTCAATTTGTGTTACCCAATACGCACCGAGCAAGCTGCTTCCTGTGGCCGAATGCAGAATTCACTGTCACCTCAGTTAATTATCATTAGCACTAATCCCATACCCACTATACTGCCTGAAAAGGGAGTATCACTGTCTGGAGCAAGAAGATGCTGCTGTGAGGTGCTCCTGCCTTTCCCAGAGGGACAGCCTCCATAGCAAGGTGGTTATTGTCAATGGTCTGGCCTGGATGTCCCTCCTGCAGGGGTGGGCTGAGCCTGTGCCTTGTCATCAGAAACACTGATGTGCCCAGATGTCATCACTGCCAATTACTGAGGAGGAATGGCAACTGTGCAACTATGGACATTAACTCTTAAACCTGTTAAAAGTTAAATTTAAACCTGTAAACTGAAATTACAGCTTTTCCCATCATGTTTCTCATTAATGATTAGTCTACGCAAATGAAAGAAATCAGGTAGCACTGTTCATTGTTCTCATAGGGCCCTACACTTGCTCTAAATATGCATACAGCCACTTCCCAGGATAATTAAGGTATAACAATGAAATAATCAAAGAAATATCAATGCTTCCTTCTCTGCCCCTTTTTATATTTGAGGCAGAATGTAGTGCTGGTACAAACAACGCAGCTTAGCTGTCTGCTACATTTGAAAGGAGCAAGCAAAAACCCCACAGCATGGCTCAGCAACAGCAGTTGCCAAACACCGACCAAACAAACCCATGAGGTTTGTGCAAGTCCACTGTCATCCCAGTTACCACATACTCTCCTCACCCTGATTTCCCAACTCAGCACATATCTGTCCTATGACTTTCCTTCTCCCCCTTTTTAACTGAAGCAACAGTAGCAGTTTCCTCCAGCTTTATGGGGGAGTGTTTTGATGCAGGAGTCCAGCCTGAGAAAACTAAGGCAAGGCAGTAGCTCAGAGCAGGCTCAGTCAGGGATGAAGTCAGGAAGAAAGCTGCCATTAGGGGCATGCTGCTCTGCATGCCTGTCTGTCTGGTAGGCAGAAGCCCAAGAAACAGCAAATGCCATTTGAAAACAGCAGCATGTTCAGAGCAGGGGCAGCTCTAAAAGAGGTGGTTGCAGCTGAAACAGAAAAAACTACAGGGCACAGAGGATTCAAGCTGCCTAGAAGATGAGGGGCATCGAGTTATTGTTCGATTTGTACATGCAGCATTCGGGTGCTAATTTGATAAAAATGTGTACAATTACGTTAAATCCTCCCCGAAGCTCTTATGCTGACAGTACTGGGGCTGCTTGATAACAAAGGGGTTGTTTATCTTGCTAGTGCATAGTCCAGCAGTCTGCTTTGTAGCATCTCCCAGGAAAGGAATGCCTGTGACTAAGGAGCAGGGTTCATGCCAGCCTGCACAGCACCGACAGTTACTGCTGTGTGCAGGCCAATAAAAGCCAATTTGCTCATTCCTCTGCCAGCTATGCTGCATCATATGAAACATACAGGGAAGTTCATGCTTGAGATGGATCAGATAAAGACAAAGAGGTTCAAGTGTGTGGGCACAGAATTAACTTTGGCCTTCCTGAAAGCTAAACTGTAGTAATTTGAATCCAGCTACACAAACTGACTGAAATCCAAACAGTTCGAAGTGACCAAAATTAGGGGGATGAAATAAGCCCATAGCAGGAACTGGTCTAATGCATCTAAACCCCCCTTCCCAAAACTATTGTATTCAGAACTGTTGTGGGTTGCAGTTGGGGAAGCACCTCTGAGAAGCAGGCATCCAGATCTAGGTGCAAACAGCTTATTTCTTGCTGTCCCACATCACTGCATGGTAAAGCCCTGTGCTGCTGCACAGCTGCAGCAATGCAGCAGAAATCTGGCAACACTGCACTGATAAAGGGCAACCATACAGTCATCTGCTTGCATCCCTAAAGCTCTGGTACACCAAGGGAGAAAGGTGATACTGTTGCAACTGGACTTCCTACTGGTACAGAAATAATTGCCTGTTCTTTTTGTTTGTTTGTTTGTTTTTGAAGAGAGGTAACTGAACAGAGATTTTCAGCTGTGACTACCTCCTTCTCAGCTTTCTGCAGTTGACTACTACTGATCATTACATTTGTCACTCCAAACCAACCTTTTTCCATGTCCTTTTTACAAGCACAGCCAGTAAGATTTTCAGCACCGGGTGGTATATTACCTCACTGTGGATGCTGTTTCAAGTTCTGCTTTTACTACAAGCAAGAAAAAATTTCCTGGTACTTTGAGAGTAATTTTGCAGTAGCCACAAAATTGCCTCACAAAGGTCCAGAACTGGCAGGTATCTAACTTACAGACTGTGCAGGTCAGAACCAGACTGCAGAATGATTTAAAAACCCAACACACAGCACTAGAGGATCTCATACTGTGAGCTCTTTTCAGAAGATATTAAGTTTAAAAAATAAAACTAACAGTTAATCTAATAATCATTCAAGCATGGCCTGCTGAGTAGAAGTGCTGCAGGGCAACTTACTTTTGATCAAGCACTAAAATAATTAGAAGTGGGAATTGTATTTACAACATGAGTTTAATCTGTTCAAGGCACTGGAGTAAGCGGGCTGCAAGAGCCTTCATTTTGCAAGCAGTACACAAAAAACTGGTAAGAGGATCAGAAAACAGATTTCAGATCATGGCAGACATCACTTCATAGGAGCACTTATTTTGGAAGAGGAACAGACTACAGAGCTTTCTGGGATCCACACATATGAGCAAACCCCACGCAGTCAGAACAGACCTCTGAACTTGCTACAGAACATAAGGCTGGTGCAACAGTGCCAGATCTCTGTGAAGTGTTGGTTTCACCATCATGGTGAACATGAGAATTAAAAAACCTTGTAAACTTTCAGAGCCAGAAGAGGAGGGAAAAAAACACGGCGGGGGGATATATATACACTGCAAGGTGGTGGTAGGCTTATTCCAGTAAGTAGCATAATGACCTAAGAATCAGGAGATCCAAGCTTTAATCTCTCCTCTATGGTGGACCTGGAATCAGGTCCAAGAGGAGGGATGAATGTCTAACACCTTCCGTGCCCCTCACAGTGTGCACGCCTGAACGTACAGCTGGCCAAGTCCTTCCCTGCTGATGACAACAGCAAAGCACAGACTTCAGCAGTGAGCAAGAGGACTGGGAGAGAGGAGAAGACAAGGGGACCTGGAGCCATTCCTTACCCCGAGGTACCGGCTGTCATTGAAGAGCCGGGGGGGCAGGGGGTTCCCACTTGCTGGCCGGCTGTCTTCAGGGACGTTCTCACGCATCCATTTCCGATTCTCCTCATTGGCAGCAATATCCTTTTCCTCAAATTCAATTTTGTTGGCTTCCAAGAAACCTAACACATCTTGTTGCTGCTTTTTAATCTGTCACAAAAGAGAAAAGGAGAGAGAAAGCAAACAAAATTAGTCAAACCATTTTTTTTGCTGCAGATTATGCAATTCCAGGGTTCAATGCAGAAACAAGGGGGTGCAAAACAGGTTGAAAATGGAAATGACAAAAAAACGCTTGGAGTAAATATGCTTCTCAAGAGTTATATCTGAGCCTTGACTTGGGCTCCTGTGTAACTGAACAGGCTGAGGTCTATAGACACGTGGACACTGTGAACCTTAGAAGTCTCTAACCGACAGCAAAGCTGGGAGCAGTCCCTTCACAGAGGCTGTTGGCCGGGCTTTACAATTAAGTCAGGGGAATGTTGCTTTTTCAGGTGCAGTGAAGTTTGCTGGAGGGCCATTTGAGGCATAACCTGCTTCCTTTGTGCCTCTGGAAGCACAGGCTGAACCCACCCTCCTAGAGACCAGAGTCCCACCTCACTGCAGCGACTCCCTGTTAGAGATCTCATTGAGTGCTCACTGGCAGGAAGATCCCAAAGCAATTTTGGCTTATGTTTCTTTGGACAAAAAAGCCAGACGACCCTCTTCTGCCTTCTGGGTTTCAGTGGTGGAAGATATGGTCTCTGGAGAGCTGCAACCCCACAAGCCTTCTCCTTGCTCATCCGAAGGAAGTCTGGGGGGGCTGTCTGCACAGGCTGGACAAGACTCCACACCTGATGCAGTCTGCCCTCTGTATACTCATACAGCACCCAAGTGAAAAGCAGGATCTGTGTGGCAAACACTGTGCTGGCTTTTTACAGGACAGGTGGTTTTTATTTGCTGCCATATACGAATTATTGACTTCCTGATACAGAGATTTTCTGCTTATGCTCTGTTCTTCCTTCGCATGACTGTCCTACCAGAAAGGAAATTATAACCATGCACATCCTGGCAAACAATAAAAAAAGCAGGATTTAATGGGAAATTTGGTTTCTTCAAATTATTCCCTTCTCTACAAACCCAGTCCGAGGCCTGGCTCTAGCCCAATGAGCTCGGTGCAGCAAAAGCAGTGCTTCATACAGATGTTGTGCTGCTGCTAATTCAGGTCCGCAGCAGCACTCCCGAGCAGCCTCTCCATATACGGTGAAGGGAAACCTCCCTGAGCGGCGCCAGGGTCAGGGCGCAGCAGCCGAGAGCCAAATACGGAGCCAGAGCTGGAGCCCCAGCTCACATGGCCCCAGCGCTGGACCAGGAGCCGTGAGGAGGCTGCTGGGTGCTGGTACAGGATGAGTGCAGCCCTGGAAGGATGAAGCTTGGGAGAGCACAGCCCAGCTGCACCTTGGCAGTCTTTAAGCATCCACTGAGTCCATCGCTGCTGCTCTCTCCTCACAACTGTCACTCACCCCTCACGGCTGCCCCTCCTCTCCCCTCATGGCTGCATCTGACCTGGTAATAAATGGATTTTTTTTTCCCCTAACTAGTGACATTTTCATTAACCATTTTTAAATTACAGATCCAGTGTGTTTGCATCACTCTCAGGTACTTGTGCCAAATCTGCTGCTTAGCGAGAACACACTTTCAGCTGTCCCAGATTTTTAAGAAAAAAAAAAAAAAGAAAACCAAGTTTTTACCCAATCTACTATTAAACTGTACGTTCTGCCATGTAAAACAAGAGCTATGTTTGACAGTTATTACCATTTTCATGTCCTGAGAAGTCTCTTTATTCTTGAAATAATTTTTACTATTCAGTTGCCTCCGAGCCATACACACATCCTCGCATTTCTCACAGCATCTCAGCTCAGTCTCATGGTGAAACTCCTTCATAGGCAAATTCTGCATATCCAGTCCTTTCATGCAGCCCCCAATCTGACCAGGCTGGACTATCTCAGCCAATAAGATCAAGTTTCTTCAGCATGAAGAAAATGCCTCTGGCTACCCTACACTGCCATTATTTCATATAATGAACTTTAAATAGAGTTTTCTTCTGAGACAGATGGATGCCAAACATCTCTCTACACACTGCCACATTGCCCATTTTGCTCTATTTTTGCTCACTCTCCCAGCTTCACAGAGCAAGGATAGTCTCTGGGTTGTACTTTCAGCTACAGGTAACCAGATCCCAAGTTCACGACCATGGCTCTGAAGTGCTATTAGAGCAGATAACCTCCCCTGCTTGTTTATGAAGAGCTAGCAAAGCTGGAAATGGATTTATTTTCTGCTGGAAAAGGCACTGTATGGAAGGCAAGCATGGCCATTTGGTTTCTGTGCTGCTCTCAGGCTGTCTTTGGTCAAAGAGAGTGAATCTCCAAAAGCACTGTGAAGAAAAGGGAGGAGCTGGTGTCGATGCATGAGCAGTACCAGTTGGAAACCCTAGTTTTCTGGCCAAAGAAAAAAAAAACCCCAAGTTGGAAGATTAAGAGGTGATGTCTTTTCCCAGCTCCTCAGACAAGTCTTCTGACCACAGTGACAAGCACTTACGCAAGACCATTAAATGCTTCAGAGAAACATGGCACCAACCACCACACAGACCAGGCTCCGAGCTGCCAGATCGCATTATTTTATGAGATTTTGTTTAGATAACTTCTATTAATCTCAGGAAGGGGAATACCACAGGGAGGGAAGTGCCTAAAATAGAGCAAGAGACGCTTGCTGCTGCTTCAGGGTACTTTGTCTCACTCAAAAGGGCATATGCTCTCCTCAGGACAAGCCTGGGAGATGGTTCCTGCTGCCCATGTTTGGGAAAGAGCAAGAAGCCTAGCTTCAGGATGCGCCTTTCAACATGCAGGACTCGCTTCCCAAAAAAAACCCTCCCAGTTGCCTAACCAGGCATGGACACCAGCCAGCGCCTTTCCAGATACCACACCTCGTTCTCTGCAAACAACTGTCATGTCTAAAGCTATTTTGGTTTATAAGCTTCAGCTAACTGCAGTTTGCAAACACGAAAAGCCTTGTTTATACCAAGTGCTCCTGACACATTCTGCAGGGCAGAGAGTGCCAGCAGAAAACCAGGAACACGCATACATCCAGTGCAGGAGCTGGGGAGCAGAGAGCAATGCTGCTGAGGCAGGGCCCTGTGGCAGGAGCACTCATGGACAGACACAAAAGCACAGGAACAACAGAGAACACAAGGACAGGGATGGGCAGACAACCACAAGGAAGGAAAGTGGCTGCGTGCAGGAGTGGATGGAAATAGGCAGAACGGATGGATGGAGACAGAGGGAAGATCCCAGGGTGGAGGCGGGATGGAGACAAAAGGCACGGAAGGAGAAGAGTTGGGGTGGGGAGCAGCAGACGTCAGTACTGCTGAAAGAAAGGGCTGTATGTGCACGGTTGTGCTGCTCGGAGAAACACAAATGCCCCAGGAACACACAACGGGTTTCTCAGTCTGAACACACCGACCCACACTTCTCAGGCCATTCCTGGGGGAAAACCAGCTAAAATTACTCAAGCGAGTGGAACCGTTATACTTTTTGCTGACGTTCCTAAGATAATGTTGAAAGGAAGCATTAAACCAAGAAAATCTATTTTCACTTTTGTTTGGCCTTCAAAGTCTGTTCCAGACAGAAATAGCTTATAGCAAGTTATCAGTGGTTAAGCAAAGTCTCACCACGAAGCTGTAATCTTCTGCATACAAAATCCGCGTAAGTAACATCAGAAGTTGCTGATTCCAGCAGACTTTTTGCTTTTTAAGGTATCTTTGTGTATAAAGATTCTCTTCCTTTCCAGTTAGAATCCAGTCATAAAACATTAAGCTCTTAAGAGAGCATGTGCACAGAGTAACAGGATGAAAATGAGTAGTTTAGAATTATGAACAAGTATTGTCCTTACTTGAACACACATCAGAAGTTAAATGTACTGTTCTAAGATGTGACTCGCATCAGCACACGATGTCAGTAACATGAGAGAAACCGCATCAGGGTTGCAAAGAGGAGAGACAGGTGACATTTTCCAACAAACTGCTGTCTGTCAAAAATGGAGCTTTAAGCCAAAAGTGGGCAGAAAACTTTCCAGAAAATGCTGCAACATTTTAGAATCAGTATTTTTTTTCTCCTCCAAATCCTCACTCAAAAGGGAATTAAAAAATCACAAACAAACAAACAAAGCCCCACAACTAAAAGATAAGCAGAAAGGAGGCAGGGGTGACGCTGCAGGACCCTGGTCCAACAAGCAGCAATACTCCATCCCCAGCTCTGGCCAGGGCTGTAAACTGGCTGCTCAACAGGCAGCCTCTCAGCACTAACCCACGGCAAGGAAACAGTTGTGTTAAACATTTTATTGTAATGAAGTTCAAAGAAGTTTCTATCTTTTTTTGGTATACACAGGCGTGCACATACAAAAGAACAGTCTAGTTTACACTGCTGGCCAAGAGCAGTTTGGGGTTTTTTTTAAGTCTTGTTATTTTTTCATTTTATAAATAAATTCCTTTTGGGACAATAGACATGTTTTTTTGGAAAGCTATTTATGGACCACTGGAACCCAAAGCAAGTTTATAGTCTGAGTGCTGCTGTTTTGATCACACAAGAAACTTCCCCATGCCAATAATGCAGCTGCAGCTCTGCTGTTCCAACACTGGCATGGGGTTTTCTCTGCCATTTCTGTGCATCCTGTGACCTCCATGCAGGGAAAAAAACCCCACAGTTTTGTTTTTATCCCCAAAAAGATGTGATTGAATGGCTCATACATTGTTGTAAGGAGTTTAAAGAACTTTAAAGACATTTCCTGTAAAGTTCCCAGCCATGGCTGTATCATTGCTTATAGCACCCAGCTCCTGCTGCACACACACGGGGCTAGACCTGCCGCTCCCAACCTCACAGCCAGGAGCAACAACACGGACAAGAGAGCAACCCCTCACAGTGGATTTAGACCTTGCACACTTCTCAGTTTAAAGACAAAACCAGCTTTAAAGGATTTTACCATTTCCAATTCCAGACTTCTGGGTTCTAGATAAGAAAAACCAACTACATCTTTAAAGCGGTTGTGTTTTAAGCCACTGATGATTTTAGATAAGCTGCTTCATCACAGGGAGGTAACTCTCCAAATCACAGGGGATACCTGCTTTGTGTAGAAAGGTGAAGAAGTTCAAATCCCCAGATGATGCTCCCATTTGTAGCCAGAACCATCACTTCTTCAAACGGTTCAGTACCTTTTAAAAGATAGATAAGCTCAAATTTGAACAGAGAACGGGAAAAGTGCAGTGGGAGAAAACTGCAGCAAACTCCCTGCTGCAGCCGAGGGGAAAATACCCAGAAAGTGGTTTTCTTTGGAGGGAGCAAGGCAGCACGAGGAATGCTGTGCTGCTGCCAAGCCAAATTAACTTGCCGCAGGGCGTCCCGCAGGCTGAGCTGTGCACTGTGACTTCAGGACTTGACCACCTCTGCTGCTGTGGCTGGTGAACAAGACAACAATTCACAGACACTTTGGGGAATTAATAAAAAGATGGGGTTTTTTAAATTATTTTTACATTTCTCATGTAATTCCTGAAAGGATGCTGCCTTCCTCCTGTACGTTGCTAATGCAGAAGTTAATACTTGCAAATTAGCTGCAAAACACTGTAATTTCATCTCCCAGTGCAGTATAATATGTAGGAGTTACACAGTGCGGCAGCTCAGCTATGCAGTGAAATGTCACAGATTCCTGAAGGCCCCTCAAGCTTGTTCTCCACCCTCAGGACATTACAACAGGCTCCCTTCAGAGATAAAATACCTCCAAGCAGGCTGGGTTCTACTCTCCATCAGAGTTTTCTCTGGTTTTATTCTAATATTGGGTTATTCATATGAACAAGCCAGGTTATTTTTTCCCCCTATATTAGCATAAAATTCAGAGGTGCCAGTTCTGGTTGTGCTGGTGGCCACCATCTTCTATAACTGGTGATCAAAAGATGGGAAGCTTGTCAGCATCTACAGCAATGACCTGCTTGATCAGAGCTTTGCAGGCTACCTCTGACGTGTCTCCCAGCAATTCATGTCTCATTCTTACTTCTGCCTGCCTGGTAGAACATCTACCTATTTTTAGATCTGGATAATTATCATTAGAGAACCACTTCTTTGTTCTGCCAAGCATTACATGTAGTAATATCATTCTCTCACTCACTGCCTGGTTTCTGGTCTGTAAGGAATGAGACTGAGGACAAACACAGCAAAACCACCATGAACTTATGTGACCTAAATCAAACACAGGAGGCTGGAACAGCTCAGGCTGTACTTCCGCTGTCTGT